TGAAAGAAGAAAAATAATTGCACTTGAAAATTATAAGAAAAAACAGGCAAAAAAACAAAGAGTACGATTAAAACATTTAATAACAATTTATCATAATATATCGAATTTCATAAATTTAGAAAATTTAGATGAGAAAATTGAAGATATTTTTGGTAGTGGTAACAATAATAATAGTAATGAATATGATAATGTTAGTAGTGCCAATTTAAGGACACCATTTACCACTACACTTGAAGATATGCAGATGGATTATATTGAAAGTGGAGGAGGAATTAATGCAAATGAAGCTAGAAGAAGGATTGAATCAATCAAAGATGCATTATATGGAACTTCTCATGGTGGAAAATATCCTGGACTAAAAATGATTGAGAATTGGGCAAAAGAAAACAAGTATGATGATATTTTGGATGGAAAAGAAACTGACAACAATGACAATGACAATAGCAATAGTAATATTAATTATAATAATTATAAAGATAAATGAAATTGTTGTGACTTTTTTTATATTATTTGAATGATTTATCTTTATTTTTTTATTTCTTGTTTTGTAAAATTTCAATTATATATATATATATATGCTATTCCTATTCCTAAGCTTAAGCTAGCTACTTGCTCAAAAAATTTTCACTTTGAAAAACAGTCATTCATTATGGGCACTACAAAAATTTCTAACTAAATTTGGTTACAATGCTGTTTTTATTTAAATCATATATATATAACTTTTGAATGATAATGAATATTCTTAAAACATTCTTATTGTTAATATGAAAACATTCGGATGACATTTCACGCTTTATTATTTTAATACAATGATCGGCATACTATTTCTGCAGTGTTGTGCGATGTAGATCTTCAATTGATATTGACCAATAAAATTCGTGTGCGTAACACTGTAGTTGAATTTCATTGGTTAACTTAATTGGAACCATATTTGGAATGTTCCAATTCCAATTGGAATTTATTGGAATGCTCCAATGAAATTTTATCGGAACCATAAATGGCTGGGGGTGCCATACAAGTAGATCAACAAATCTAATTAATATGGTGCAAGTCACCTAGTCCCGCAACTTGCTGCGCCTCGTGGCCAATTTTGGGAAAAACATCAAAACTCATAATTGTAAGTTATGCCCAAAAATGCAATAAAATCTTTATATCACGTGACCTTTAATGGTGATACAAATTAAAAAAAATTATTTATATTAATAATATATATAATGTTATAACATTGCTAAAAAAAAATTTCCTTCTTCATGTGAAGAAGCCAATGCTCCTGCGGAGAGCATTCTTTGAGAGCTTTGCCCTCAAAGA